GACGAACATTTTTTTCGTCGTGGATGGCAGACGTCGTCCTTCGTCTTGCCCTTCTTGTCCCCTTTTTTCGTCCCTCGCAACCATTAAGGCACAACAATCCAACAACGACGACCTGCCAAATCCTTCGGTTCTCCGCGAATGGAGATCCGCGCGCGAAATCCCGAAACGGAGCCCACCCCCGTGGCACCGCCCTGAAACCCCCATGGACCCCGAAGAGGCACCCGCCGAAGCAGCCGACCCCCCGACCGTCTGGAGCGTCTACACCCGCCTCCGCGCCGGATGCTTCTCGGACGCCATCCTCCTCACGCCCGACGGCCGGTCGTTCCCCGTCCACCGGGCCCTGCTGGCCGCCCTCAGCCCCGTGCTCCGACGGATGCTCGCGGAGGCCCCCGAAAGGAACGTCCTCCTTCCTGGGATCGACGCCCCGACGGCCGCGAAGGTCCTGGATTTCCTTTACACCGGGAAGTGCGACTCGAGCCACGAGGAGGCCTTCGAGTTGCTTCCGGTCGCGATCCGATTCGGCGTGGAGGGCTTCGTCGATCTCCTCGCGGATCGACTCGCGAAAGGCCTCGACGTGTCGAATTGCTTCAGGGTGATGGGGATCGCGAGGGAACACGGATGCAAGAAGCTGGAGGAAGAAACTCGTAAATTCGTGCTGAATCACTTCCAGGGAGTCGCGTGGGATAACCCGGACTTCGAGCGACTGTCGGCGTCCGACCTCGAATCGTTTCTCGGGGACGACCGACTGAACGTCCGAAGCGAAGAGACCGCGTTCCACGCCCTCCTCGCGTGGTTCCACGCCGATCCCGCGAGCCGTCGGGCGAGTCTTCCGAGGCTCCTCGAGACCGTCCGTTTCCGTCTGCTCAGCTATCCTTACTTGAAGGAGATCGTGATGGAGTGGTTGAAGCGAATTCCCGAGTGTCGCGCGGCTCTGCGCGCTTCGTCCGTCTGCTTGGCGGCGATGGAGTCCGGCGAAGATGCGAGGCAGGACGCGACCTCGCCCCTCGCCCGACCTCGAATCCCTCGGGAGGTCGTGTTCGCGATCGGAGGATGGAGTGCTGGGGCACCCACGATCGCGTTCGAGTGCTACGACCCGCGGGCGGACGCGTGGTTCGTCTGCTCCTACACGGACAACTGCCCCAGGGCCTATCACGCCCTGGTCGAGCTCGATGGTCTCGTCTACGCGCTGGGCGGATTCGACGGTTACGAGCAGTTCAGCACGATGAGATGCTTCGACCCGGTGGAGACGAAGTGGAGCGAGCGGGCCTGCATGTATCAGTGCCGATGCTACGTGAGCGCGTGCGCATCGGACGGGAAGATCTACGCGATCGGGGGATTCGACGGCCGGGTGCGACTGAACAGCGCGGAACGGTACGACCCCGCGACGAACCAGTGGGAGCGACTCCCGCCGATGCACCACCGTCGCAGCGACGCCGGCGCGACGTCGACCGCCGGGAAGATCTACGTCGCCGGAGGATTCACGGGCGGAGAAATCCTCCGCAGCGTGGAGCGCCTCCACCCCGAGACCGGCGAGTGGACGCTCCTCCGTCCCATGAGTCTCGCGAGGTCCGGACTCCGTCTGAGCGCGTACCGCGGCGCCGTTTACGCCCTGGGAGGATTCGACGGGATCGTCCGGTCCCCACGTGCCTCCCTTCCTCCTTCAAAATTATGCGTGGAGCTTGTTAGCGAGCAGACTGCGAGTGAATGCAAAACTTAATCTGGAATTCCAGTCGTTCGCGCTCTTGAAAAGAGGCAAGCGGTGACTCCGATTTTCCTCTCATTTCCCTTCTTCCCCTTTTACCTTCGGAAACTGGAGTTCGCGTTCCCTCGTTTCTAAGAGGGCAGAGTCTCTTCCTCCCCAGTTCGACGTAATGATATCGACTCAACGTTGCCAATCGGAAGTTTCAAAGTTGCGTCTCGACGTCGCTGTCGAAACGAGACAGGTCTCGTAATTGATGACGCGTTGTTTCTCCTTTACATGGCTCAGAATTGCCCTGGATTTCGTCGCCTCTTCCAGGAATGCTTCCAGGAATTCCAGGAGAGAACAAGGACCGTTCCAAAGTACTGGAGTCTCACGCCAGTTGTTATTAAACCGTCAGCTCACTCCAGGGTATGGGGACCTCGTCCGTTCGAACAAATGCCAAGTCGCTCGACGTCGTGTCGACATCGTGTCGACATCATGTCGACGGAGCATTTGAGCACTCGACTGAAGAGCAACACCGTGTCGTCGCAATATCGATAATTTCCCGCGCTTTTCAACATTGAGTCAATGTTGACGAAGCATTTCATCATCGGCTGATCATTTTTGACTGGGTCGTTCTCCCGGCGGGGAATGAGCGCAGAACGAGGAGCGGAGAATGGAGCGCAGAACGAGGTTCCGAAACAGTTAATGGATTTTTCCTCGAGTCAGGAAATGTGTATTTGAGAAACCGCAAGCCATCTTTCAGTGACAGCTGTGGCACATTTCTCGACAAAACTACCTTTTAGCCTTAATTCGGCGCGTCTTCTGGAATTCGACCGAATGTATTACATTTCCAGAAAAAAATATTAGTTGGACCTCGGCGAATTCGTCCTCGACGACCACCGTCGCCTACCTCGACCGGAGCGTGGCCAGCCCACGACCGGAGCGCGGCCAGTCCTCGACCGGAGCGCGGCCTGTCCTCGCTCTCATTCTCGTCGCTTTCGCTTTCGTTCATTTTCTCACTTTTCTCACTTATACTTTGTTTTGCACAATGAAGAAGGAGAGGGATTGCGAAGCTCTCGACACTTTCGTTGGGTCGACGAACACGGCAGAAATCCGTCACTTTCGCCGGTGACATGCTCGCTCCGTCACTTTCGGTGCGCGTTGGCGTTATCGCACTCGTGACTCGTAAAATTGCACCTGTGCCAGGCAATATTGCGAGGAAAGTTGAGCCCAGAAAATGGCCTCGATCGCGGGGTGAGCTCGTTTCTTTCGTCGTCGCAGCTTCGAGTTTTGATTCCAGAATTATATATATATATATTAATTAATTAAAACCTGATTTAATTTTGAAGAGCACTCGGGAAAGTACTCGCATGCGTTTTAGCGATTCGATTTAAATGGAATTCTTCATTCCGTTAGTCAGGTTTCTCGACACATCTGTCGGCAATCGCAAGGGTCGATTTTCTCGGGGAATTTTCTTCTCGGAATCGAAGGACTCATTGGCTTACATTCATGGCAATGGAGAAATTTTCAAAATTATTTGACGAAGATTCGCTCTTTTTCTCGCGTTCTTTTGCAATTGCAATTCAAGGATATAAGCCGAATTTTTTCGTCCGATTTTGGAACGGAGCGGCTTTTCCAAGGAAGTCCTGGGAATGTAAGCCATGTGGCTTACATTCTCACCGGGCGTGGACTGCTTGCTTAAAGGGAATCCCAGTCACGATGTCCGTCTTTCATAGTTTGCAGATTGCGAGGTGATCCCATCCAGGCGCTCATGCGCTCATGACAGGCGCGCCTGGCACGCCCTCGGCTTTTCATTTTACAAAGTGAATTTTCGAAAGGGATATTTGCTTGCGCAGCGCCCGATCGACGACTCATCTGAAAGGGTGAAAACTCACTTTCCCTCACGTTTTTAAGTGTGAGTATGCACATGTGTATGCACATGCGAGTGTATGCTCGCATGAAAGTGCCGATTTTGCACGCTCCAAGAATTTCTCGGAAAATAACTCATAAAAAAACTCTCAGACAGCAATTTTGGTCACATTTCGAAAGACTCAGATTCGTTCGAATCAGCGCCAAAAGGCATCTGCGAAATTCGAATTACCTTTTCTCGGGGGAATCGAGGATGCAAAGTGAACATGAGCAACGAACGCGATCGTTCCCGTTCTTCGGACTGGATTCGTGCAACCTTGAATTGCAGGTGGGGAACCCCGTCCAGATGGCTTCGCAGTTCTTCGAGGCTAGGCCTAGACTCCCCTGGGGGCTTTCTCCATTATCCGGGTCGAATTGAATCCGGTGTCGCACGACTGGTCACGAAATGCGATGGTCTTCTCACGTTCTTGTCAGTTCATTCCATCTTGTGCTCGTGATTCTTCCACTTGCGTTTCCAGAGCGGACACGGAACGACCCATCCACGGAAAGGCCACCGGGGCGACGCAGCGACATCTCTGCTCCACTTCGCGCAGCTGGAGACTAACTAGGGAGGTGGCAGGGGGCGCTGTAGGTAAGATGGCGCTGCTCCTGCCGGAGCGGACTCCAAGTCGTGGTTCTTGTTGGGTGCGTTCACTCGGGTGGCAGGTAACTTTAACGAAACTCTACCTCTCCATGAGACTCGTCCCGCAGTGAAACCGGGAATTTTTTCTACTAGTTTCCGACTACCATCCTCACATGCTTCCTGAATCTCCGAATAGAAGCGATGATGGACTTGTAACTTAGGCCTGAATAGACTGACATGGGATTATCTTTTCCGCCCCTTGGCCTTTGAATGGCCGGTGCCCCAGATGTGTAAGAAACTGAACTTCGGTATTAGTCAAGTGAAAAGATGTCTGACGTTTGAAAAACAATGTATGTATTTATTTAAAAAAAAAAAAATTGAGTTAGCCTGTGTAAATGCACCATCCCAAAAAGAAACGCAAATTAATCGGTGGAGAGGTAGTGGACGGGACGATCCCTTCCATATTTCGCGATCGCCCTACCAAAACTCCTTCATGAGTTATCATGTATCATTTCATAAATATAAGAGAATTGAGACTTACCAATCATATGGAAATTGTTTTGATCTGTGGGCAGGATTGCAAGTAATGAACAAGGAAGTAGAGGACAATATTCAGTTAAGCTTTGGGCAGAGGGTGCAGTTTCTTTTTGAATGGTGTGATTATAGAGGGCATGTAAAAAGAGAAAACTTTTAACTTTTATGTCTTTGCTTTCACTGGAGCTACTTTCACAAAATTTGCTCTTTGCATCTGTTGACATACTCTCAACAGACTTGAAAATTTCATCCAAATCAATATTGCCAAAGCAAGGCCTTGAGCAATAATTCTAAAGAAATTAGAAACTGATGGGGCTTGTCAGTTTCATTTTGCCATGTCTCTACCCTTAGGGTTCTACTGCTTTCTTGTGAAATTCTCACTCTTGCCCCTTTAAGATGAGATTTTACACCTCAGAACCTCAATATCATGCAATACTTTGAAAGGTTGGAGTGTTTCTTGAATAATTTTCTCTCTTCCGTGTTTCAGGTGGAGCAGAAGAGTTGGGGGATGGGAAACCTCCTTGCTTGTCTCTATCCCCTTTCTGCTTTTGATCACTTTCTGTGCAGCTTTGTCTGCTTCATTCTCCTTTTTCCGGCCCCCTCTTTTGTTCCCAACCTCCCTCAGACTCATCCTTCCACACTTCATGCCCTTTCTTCTGTCTCTGCATTTCAGTGACAGTAGCTCTGCAGCTTGTGTGCATTGCAGTTCCATCACCTCATTGGAAGGCCATGAATAGTTTCCTCACACTTTGATCCTGATGTTGGCAGCTTCTTGAATACTCCCTTGTTCCAGAAGCTGAAGGGGCATTCAATCCTCATTGCAGAGTGACCTGTAAGTTCCTTGTCTGAGTGAACCACACTCTGGCCAATTTCATGGTGAGTATGTCTGTGGTGTTTATATGATTAAAGTACCAATAGCATGGTAGCCATTAGGTCTATTAATACCTAGCGTACAAGAAGTAAATTGTGTGGGGTTTAAATCTTGTATTGTACCCACACAAATCTTCAAAAAAGGTATATCTTCATCAACTGAGGCAAAGAGAAGCTACTTAGCAAAATGGAAGTGCAGAGACTTGACATAAATGAATAGACATCATGTGACTGCTTATGAGAGAGCATATGATTGCTAGCTATAAGAAAAAGAAAGGAAGTATTAACCATATTCATATTTTACCTGTGCTCTGTATGGTTTCAAAATAAACTGGTGTTAACGAAAACTTGGGTGCATATTTACTTTTGTCAAGTCTTTGTATGTGGCTTCTTCAACTTGGTAACTCTTCTATAGATACTATCATATAATTTTCAAAGGTAAATGCTGACTTTGGGACATTCAACTCATGAGACTTACAGTTTCCAGAGGGAGGAATTTGAAGTTGTTTGAAATGTGATCACTCTGAGGAACTTACTTGAGCCTTTCTATGATTGAGGATGACTCTAATCTTCACTCATGTGTTCTGGCTCCTTGGCTATTTAGAAAAATTTCACTGATATACAGGGTTATTATAAATTCACCAGCCTATTTGATTGGCCATAACTTTTCAAAGGAGATTCAGATGCAGCTGATCAAGATGGCTCTGCATGACTATAGAGGGCGTTGTGGTCGACCGCAGCGCCCCCTATCGGTGTGCAATGCAACTTTGTATGTAGGAAAGAAAAACCTTATAGACCCATGAGCATCTCTGCCAAATATCAGCTGCATCTGAGAGCCTATTCAAAAAATATAGATACACGAAGTTGGATGGTGAATTGAAACCATTTGAGTTTTTTTGGTGCTAACTTTTTAAGGAATTGTCAGATGGGGCTTAAACGTATTCCTTCTATTGCTCCTCACATTTCTGTACTTATCGATAGGGAGCGCTATGGTCAGGTATGTGAAGGTGAAATGGAAAGGGACATAACGTTGTGTCAGTGCAGAAACGTGTTGCGCTATTACCAAAATAGAAACTCTGTAACCAGAGTCCTCTAAGAGCTTCACCATCTTGCCCGTAGTGGTGCGAATGCTAGACAT